TAATTCTCATCTATCTAGTTGACTGTCCTATTATTGTTGAATTCTGTTGTTAAGGGTGCTGTAGTTATTGCTTTTAGCAGATGCCATATGTCAGTATCTGCTTTGTATTTGCCTCTATATTATTTTTGCAGGTCTCTTATTGTTAAAGATGACATAGTTGCAGCTATTATTGGTTCTTATGGCATGCCAATAAATGATTAGTCTTGGGCTCTTACCATTGCTGATTTTTTTTCTACTGTTAATGATGGCATACTTACTGCTTTTAATTGGTTCTTACCATATGTCAATGCCTGGGTCATCATCAACTTTACTGTGGTTCATATTCATTGCTCTGAGCAGTGCTGGGGATCAAGCTTCCAGGAAGGTGGATACTAGACTTTGAAATATTATGCTGAATGGGCTTATAGGGGTATGAACACCAAAACATAACCAAACCCAAGGACGCATCGCAAGACCAAACCTAACTGAGGAGCTCTCCACAGTAGCAAGTTTCTTTATCTGATTTTCAAACCCACACCATAAAAACAGTAGAAACCAGAGAGAACAAAGCAACAAGATGCACCCCCTAGCTGGGCGTCGTAGTGCATGCCTGACATCCCAGCATTCAGGAGGCTGAGGCAGGAGGATCACTGTGAGTTGGAGGCCAGCCTGGGCTAATGTGATTTTTAAGGCCAGTTTGAACTGCATAATGAAATCCTTTCTCAAAAACAAAACAAAACAAAACAAAACAAAACAAAACAAGATGCCCTCAAGGCCCCTACATCCCCAAAGCTGACCTCATAAACTCTAAAGTAAAGGAAGCTATAGGCAAAGAACTCAAAAAATCAGGACTCAAAACATTTCAAGAGATAAAAGAAGAAACATATAAGCAAAGCATAAGATATTTAATGAACTCAAAGAGGGTTTAACTAAAAAGACAAAGATTTTACCAATAAAATATCTGACAAGCTCAAAGAAGAAACAATAAACTAACTGAATTAAGCCAGCCAGTACAAAATACGA